AAACAGAATTTCTGGTTATCGTCTACAAAATTTTACACCTTATATCAACACCGTTTGGTTAACTTTACTATAAGGATTTGAATAAGTGTTTTCTTGTTGGATCTACAAAACTTCTTGTTATATTTACATAAATCGCAGCGCTCTGCAACAGTTTCGTCATCACTCACTAAACGGTTGATCAACTGTTCGCCGCATTCATTTGTTACACTGCTACTGCGCCCTCGCTACTCGCGGCGTGAATCGCGCGCATTAGATCTTTCGCGAAGCAATGGCGCTAAGCAGTCGGAACAGTCTCAACTGAGCTCGCTAAAGTTTTACGTCGCGTCGTGGAATCCATTACGGAATATTAGTTAGGCCGATGGCAGAGAACGAGAAGTAAGCACTTATGTCTGTCGTAGACGTCTGTCATGGACGTATGATAAGGCAGAGAAAACAGGGCTGATCAACTCCCGTGTATTTTGTATTAACCGTGTTTGCAGCGTCGCCTATCTTACCACAGAACCTACAAGGAACTAAAAATTAATATGGCGCCCAACCCGTCCGATTCAAAATTCACATACAGGCATATGTACACCGTCTGTCCGGAAAGTTCCGGGACTATCGTTTAAAAAAATAGAAAAAATAGAGTTTTTATTTTTTATTACTTTAAATGTTCTACATAATTTCCTCCAATATCAATACAACGTTTAGAACGTTCGTACAACCATTGGAAACTGTTCGAAAATGCTTTTTTTGAAATTTTCCTCAATTTACGCGTCGCATTGGCCTGAATATCCTCAATATTATCATAGCATTTTCTTTTTCATGTGCAACTTGAGTTGTGGAAAGAGGAAAAAAGTCGCACGGAGCTAGATCAGGTGAATATGGAGGATGCTGGAGTACGGGAACTTGTTTTTGTGTCAAAAACTGAGTTACAATTCCAGCCGTGTAGGCGGGCGCGTTGTCGTGCAGCAGGAAAAAATTTTTGTCGGTCTATCGTTCTGATCGAACTCGTCGGATCCTATTGCAAAGCCATTCCAGTACACCCAAGTAGAAACGGGAAGTCACCAGTGATGCCCGGGGGAACAAATTCCTTGTGAATAATGCCTTGAGCGTCGAAAAATATGATGAGCATGATTTTTGTCTTCGATTTTGTCATTCGCACTTTCGTCGGTTTCGACTCACCAACGCTCAACCATTCAGCACTTTGCCGTTTCGTAGTAGGCTCATATTGAAAGCACCATGACTCGTCACCTGTGATTATTTTTTGGAGAAAAGAATTGTCTTCATCTGTCATTTCAATTAAGTTGCGACAGGCGATCACGCGCTGTTCTTTTTGTTCAGGAGTCAAACTGTGCGGAAAGAATTTTGCGCACACCTTTCTCTTCATTAAAACATTCCGGATAATTTCATGAACAATTGTTTTGGCCATGTTGACCTCTTCTGCGATCATTCTGCACGTGAGATGATGGTCAGTGAGCAGGAGATCACGAATCTTTGCAATGTTTGCGTCTGTCGAACTCGTGGTGGGGCGCCCCGTCCTCGCATCATCCTTAAGCGACTCTCGGCCTTCTTTAAATCGTTTGTACCATTCAAATACTTTTGAACGTGATAAACAGTCATCACCGTAAACGATTTTCATGGACTCGTACGTTTCCGTAGCCGTTTTACCGAGTTTAAAATTAAATTTGATGACTGCTCTCTGCTCCATCACGATTTTTTTGACAGGCCAAAAAAACGAAATAAATTCATAAGCTTTTAGTATTAAGCAGAGTGATCGAGGCCGTTTAACCAAACGTATGTTTATGGTTAATTGTTGCTACTAAAAGGTTCTTTAGTTGTGCAACGAGCGGCGCCACTTATTGGCCGGGAAAAAAATCAGTCCCGGAACTTTCTAGACAGACGATGTACATGTGTTAAAGATCGTCTGAAATTATTATTTATCTCAAAGTCAATCGGTTTAGTTAAATAATAACACACAAATAAACGAATAAGAGTCACTTTCGACATTTGTTTATCAGCATCGTAGAGAAGTTTTCGATTAACGCTTTCTGCCCCTCTTTGAAAAATCAAAGAGATAGAAGACGACGTGTGAAGAGTTCTGCGCACAATCAAGAAGTTCTGCTCTCCTCTCTATTGAGAATCTTTTAGGAAAACGAGAGATTATAAAAGGTGCTTCTCCCTAAAAACGCTCTCTCGATTCTTAGAATAAGCGATAAACCAAAGAGTAATTCGAGGAAGTGCATAGAGAGTACGCAGAAATCTCAAAAGGAGGATTCATCAAATTCGTGAGTAATTACATGCGTGAGAAAAACGCTTGATAATAACCGCGTCCTCGCATAGCGCGCTGAAAGCTATCCTTATTCGGTCGATTCGGCGAATTCCGTCAATTAATCTTGTACAACCTATACAGTGCGTTATCCGTGTGTAATAAAACTTGATTATACCAATTGATTATACCAACGAAGACAATAAATCGGATTTTGGGAAATTGGTCGTTAAACGCAACCTGAACTCATTTTTCTGTATTTCTAACAAGGAGATGGCAAGAAATGCTAAATACGAAATGCAATGAACCATAGTACGTTCGAAAGAGGGGATCGAGAGTATAAACATCGTAAAAGGGTTTGGGTGAATGGGCCTTAGTTTCGGAGAAATTTGCATCTAAAGTTAGGCATTCGACCAGCTGCGCGTTAAGTACTATGGATATGTATTAAAAAAAATGAAGCGCGTTGGCTGCACAGCCTAAGGCGCGCGTGTATCATTTTTGTCATTTGATGCGAGGAGGTTCGAAACCTCGCAGTAAGTAACACTATTTTTTTATATATATAACAATTCTATTTATTAATTTAGTAAGTTTTTATTATTTTTTGTAGCAAAATAAGAATAATTAAATAATATTTGTTGTATGTAATACAAAATAATAAGAATTTTTTATATTATTATATTATTATTATTTTAATTATTATAAAATTCAGACATTGACGTGCAATGTTGTAGATGAAAATTAATATAGAAACATTGGAAACATAAGTAATTTATACACCATGAACATTTGATAAAAGAATGATTTGTTTTACACAAACATGTGACATATATATCGCAGAGAAAAATTATATAAATAACGGATATAAATATTACTTTAAAATATTTAAATAATAATAATAATAATAATAATAATAATAATAATATTTTAATATTTATTTTTTATTTTTTAATATGCAATGCTATCGGTTAAATCCTCTTTCGAAATATCAAATTTTGTCAAAATCTAGATCTGCTCTATCAAGAATGGATCTATGCTTTTTTCTTCCATTTTTACTGCCAGAAACTTCTGCACTGATCGATATTCGTGAGAATACTGACCAGCAAAACCCTACGTAGCCCTAACGGTTTTTTGAAGTCGTGATCTGTGCGCATGTGCTACAGAGAATAGATATCTATTCTGAAATTCCTTTTCCAAAATGTTCATGGTGTGCAAATTTATATTTCCAATGTTTCTATGTTCATTTTCATCCACAACATTGAAAGGCAATGTCCGAATTTTATAATAATTAAAAATAAATAAATAAATATTAATAAATATAAAAATTCTTATTATTTGTATTACATACAACAAATATTATTTAATTATTCTTATTTTGCTACAAAAAATAAAAACTTACTAAATTAGTAAATAGAATTGTTATACAGCGTGTGTCAAAAGTTCCGGGACAGCTGGATAATTTAAAAAATACGTATCACAGAGGAAAATGTCCTTGACAAAAGTTGTAGGATTTTTCTCGGGCAATCCGATAGTGACCTTAGATTTGGCCTTGTCCGTGACCTTCAAGGTTATTTCAAGATCAAATCGAATTTTTTTAATAAAAACTTCTATTTTTTATTCCAAAATCTAATAGCTGGTGTCAAGAGCTTTTCAAAACACTATAATGAAGTTATTTTTCATTAAGTACTTTTTGAGTTATGAGGCTTGAAAGTTACAGCATTTTGACATAAAATACAAAATATCTTGTAAAACATTCAATTTTCGGAAATCTTGCCTTAATACTTT